AACTACTCTCTCTCTCTCTCTCTCTTCTCTCTTCTTCTCTCTCTCTCTCTCTCTCTCTCTCTCTCTCTTTCTCTCTTTCTAATTGCTTTTTCTTCATGTAAGCTATTAAGTTTTCTTTATGCAATCTTACCGAACTTTCTCTATCATTTTGAAGCACAATTTATTCCTCTTATGTAACTTAAGTTTTCTTTTATTGTGTCTATCTATATAAATTTTTCGATATATACATTTTTTTTCATATAATAATCAAGACAGAGAAGTACAATATTCTCTATCAAAAATTATAGTTAATTTTGATTTTAGATTGATTGAAATACAAGCATAATTAATACTCACAGATTTATGCTCGTATTAATTTACAAAATTTACATGAATTCGTTTTCGTTACAACTTGTCCACAAAAATCAACAATTCGGTAAAATAATTTTTTAAAAACAAGATAAATTTCTTTGAATGCACAAAATAAATTTTCTTATTATAAATTTCTTATTTCTTATTTAAATTTATTTTAATTATGAGATTAATATTTATTGCTTCACTCTCTCGTACGAACGTCCGCATGCTCAGCCAGAAAGATCGCATTTATAAATGTACGACAAATGTACTACACACGCTTAACATTTACATATACACCATGAAAAATGAGCGTTGCACCGAAAATAAATCTAGTAAATTAACACAGACGAACATGTATCTACACAGACAGAGAGACAATGTGAATAGCAGCAACTAATGTCCACGTAAGTGTCGTAAGACGATTTCTGGTGCACGAAAAGCATCAGATCTTTCGATCTATTTCATCACTCTCCTTTTTCTTTTTTTTTTACGTTGTATCTAACATAATGCACACGAACGAATGCATTAATTGTGAAACAAAGAGAAACGGGGGAAGATCGAAGGAAACGACGGAAACGTCGATGTATCGACGGCCGTACTTGTTGAAAAGTTGAAATTAATTGCATCGCAAGATCGTGTAATCTCACTGTGTGATTACGCAATCGATGCATAAGAGATAAAGAAAAAGAGATAGAGAGAAGGAGAGAAAGTGCGGAACAGATGTAATTGCACGGCTGACAATAAAGAAATCGCGGAGAGGAGACTACTCTTGGTGAGGAGTTGATCATCGACCTTTTCATCGTACGACTGTCGATCGTAGGAACGATGCATAGCGTAATATCACGTGAATATGTACTGTGTATTCTCAAATTAATATTCTCAAAATATTAACACACATACACACGTACACACACGCGCGCGCACATTCATGAAACCTTTTTCTGGCCTGATTCGTTGTTAATTCTCTGAGCCACAAGTTATAGTTCCCTCTTGCTTGGAAAATATACACATATATATATATATATATATATATATATATATAATAAAT